TATATCGGATCCTGTAGTTGGACATGCTTTCCTCAACCCTCACCCTACCCTATCCCTATTTATGAATCGGACCCCGAAGTTGGACATGCTTTCCTCAGGTTCTCTGTATAGTCCTGGTAAATACTGGAACGCTGCCATCAGCCCGTTCCAACAAAGTGCTGTGGAGACCTCATGGTGGCGCTGTTTGCGCGCGTCTGGTACCCATAATGCCTTGTGTCGAGCATTGGTGGTTCAATGGTAGAATTCTCGCCTGCCACGCGGGAGGCCCGGGTTCGATTCCCGGCCAATGCAGCCAGGATTTTGACTTGGTCTAGGATCAACTGTTGTCTGTTGCGCTCATTGTGAATCACAACACTTGAAGTTGAATAACGGGATCCGTTGCTGTTTTTTGTCCCAGAGACACAGACAAACTTGTGCAGTGCAACACAGCTCAGGACACTTGAAGTCTAACAATTCTATGAAAAACATTTTCCCAGGACTCTTTACATTGTTACAACAAGAAGCTCCCTGTTCAGTCGACAGCATTTTTTTCAGAAGCTGGCTTCCAACGCACCAAACTAGGGGAGCTGCCACTCCACCTCAGCACTTGAGACCACTTAGCCAAAGTGACCTCTTAGGAGTTCTTTTCTTAGCAAAAATGTCAAACTCACACAAAGTCCAAGTTGACAGTAAACTGCAGTCACTGGAAATGAAAAAGGATTGTGTCCAGGCTGACCTTGAACCAGACATGTAAAATAATTGCAGTTTTTACCCGATGAAGACACTGGATGATAAGTCAGAAGATCACCAAAGGGATTATGAATGACTTGGAAGGGGAACAGGAGAGTGCTTACCAAATTTGGCAAACAATCCAACAAAGTGCTGTGGAGACCTCATGGTGGCGCTGTATGCGCGCGTCTGGTACCCATCATGACTTGTGTCGAGCATTGGTGGTTCAATGGTAGAATTCTCGCCTGCCACGTGGGAGGCCCGGGTTCGATTGACAGTAAACTGCAGTCACTGGAAATGAAAAAGGATTGTGTCCAGGCTGTATTTTATATATCGGATCCTGTAGTTGGACATGCTTTCCTCAACCCTCACCCTACCCTATCCCTATTTTATGAATCGGACCCCGAAGTTGGACATGCTTTCCTCAGGTTCTCTGTATAGTCCTGGTAAATACTGGAACGCTGCCATCAGCCCGTTCCAACAAAGTGCTGTGGAGACCTCATGGTGGCGCTGTTTGCGCGCGTCTGGTACCCATAATGCCTTGTGTCGAGCATTGGTGGTTCAATGGTAGAATTCTCGCCTGCCACGCGGAGGCCCGGGTTCGATTCCCGGCCAATGCAGCCAGGATTTTGACTTGGTCTTACAATGTTAGAAAGTGCAGATATGATACTGCTACAAAGGATCAACTGTTGTCTGTTGCGCTCATTGTGAATCACAACACTTGAAGTTGAATAACGGGATCCGTTGCTGTTTTTTGTCCCAGAGACACAGACAAACTTGTGCAGTGCAACACAGCTCAGGACACTTGAAGTCTAACAATTCTATGAAAAACATTTTCCCAGGACTCTTTACATTGTTACAACAAGAAGCTCCCTGTTCAGTCGACAGCATTTTTTTCAGAAGCTGGCTTCCAACGCACCAAACTAGGGGAGCTGCCACTCCAACTCAGCACTTGAGACCACTTAGCCAAAGTGACCTCTTAGGAGTCCTTTTCTTAGCAAAAATGTCAAACTCACACAAAGTCCAAGTTGACAGTAAACTGCAGTCACTGGAAATGAAAAAGGATTGTGTCCAGGCTGACCTTGAACCAGACATGTAAAATAATTGCAGTTTTTACCCGATGAAGACACTGGATGATAAGTCAGAAGATCACCAAAGGGATTATGAATGACTTGGAAGGGGAACAGGAGAGTGCTTACCAAATTTGACAAACAATCCAACAAAGTGCTGTGGAGACCTCATGGTGGCGCTGTATGCGCGCGTCTGGTACCCATCATGCTTGTGTCGAGCATTGGTGGTTCAATGGTAGAATTCTCGCCTGCCACGTGGGAGGCCCGGGTTCGATTGACAGTAAACTGCAGTCACTGGAAATGAAAAAGGATTGTGTCCAGGCTGTTTTATATATCGGATCCTGTAGTTGGACATGCTTTCCTCAACCCTCACCCTACCCTATCCCTATTTTATGAATCGGACCCCGAAGTTGGACATGCTTTCCTCAGGTTCTCTGTATAGTCCTGGTAAATACTGGAACGCTGCCATCAGCCCGTTCCAACAAAGTGCTGTGGAGACCTCATGGTGGCGCTGTTTGCGCGCGTCTGGTACCCATAATGCCTTGTGTCGAGCATTGGTGGTTCAATGGTAGAATTCTCGCCTGCCACGCGGGAGGCCCGGGTTCGATTCCCGGCCAATGCAGCCAGGATTTTGACTTGGTCTAGGATCAACTGTTGTCTGTTGCGCTCATTGTGAATCACAACACTTGAAGTTGAATAACGGGATCCGTTGCTGTTTTTTGTCCCAGAGACACAGACAAACTTGTGCAGTGCAACACAGCTCAGGACACTTGAAGTCTAACAATTCTATGAAAAACATTTTCCCAGGACTCTTTACATTGTTACAACAAGAAGCTCCCTGTTCAGTCGACAGCATTTTTTTCAGAAGCTGGCTTCCAACGCACCAAACTAGGGGAGCTGCCACTCCACCTCAGCACTTGAGACCACTTAGCCAAAGTGACCTCTTAGGAGTTCTTTTCTTAGCAAAAATGTCAAACTCACACAAAGTCCAAGTTGACAGTAAACTGCAGTCACTGGAAATGAAAAAGGATTGTGTCCAGGCTGACCTTGAACCAGACATGTAAAATAATTGCAGTTTTTACCCGATGAAGACACTGGATGATAAGTCAGAAGATCACCAAAGGGATTATGAATGACTTGGAAGGGGAACAGGAGAGTGCTTACCAAATTTGGCAAACAATCCAACAAAGTGCTGTGGAGACCTCATGGTGGCGCTGTATGCGCGCGTCTGGTACCCATCATGACTTGTGTCGAGCATTGGTGGTTCAATGGTAGAATTCTCGCCTGCCACGCGGGAGGCCCAGGTTTGATTGACAGTAAACTGCAGTCACTGGAAATGAAAAAGGATTGTGTCCAGGCTGTATTTTATATATCGGATCCTGTAGTTGGACATGCTTTCCTCAACCCTCACCCTACCCTATCCCTATTTTATGAATCGGACCCCGAAGTTGGACATGCTTTCCTCAGGTTCTCTGTATAGTCCTGGTAAATACTGGAACGCTGCCATCAGCCCGTTCCAACAAAGTGCTGTGGAGACCTCATGGTGGCGCTGTTGCGCGCGTCTGGTACCCATAATGCCTTGTGTCGAGCATTGGTGGTTCAATGGTAGAATTCTCGCCTGCCACGCGGGAGGCCCGGGTTCGATTCCCGGCCAATGCAGCCAGGATTTTGACTTGGTCTTACAATGTTAGAAAGTGCAGATATGATACTGCTACAAATGATCAACTGTTGTCTGTTGCGCTCATTGTGAATCACAACACTTGAAGTTGAATAACGGGATCCGTTGCTGTTTTTTGTCCCAGAGACACAGACAAACTTGTGCAGTGCAACACAGCTCAGGACACTTGAAGTCTAACAATTCTATGAAAAACATTTTCCCAGGACTCTTTACATTGTTACAACAAGAAGCTCCCTGTTCAGTCGACAGCATTTTTTTCAGAAGCTGGCTTCCAACGCACCAAACTAGGGGAGCTGCCACTCCAACTCAGCACTTGAGACCACTTAGCCAAAGTGACCTCTTAGGAGTCCTTTTCTTAGCAAAAATGTCAAACTCACACAAAGTCCAAGTTGACAGTAAACTGCAGTCACTGGAAATGAAAAAGGATTGTGTCCAGGCTGACCTTAAACCAGACATGTAAAATAATTGCAGTTTTTACCCGATGAAGACACTGGATGATAAGTCAGAAGATCACCAAAGGGATTATGAATGACTTGGAAGGGGAACAGGAGAGTGCTTACCAAATTTGACAAACAATCCAACAAAGTGCTGTGGAGACCTCATGGTGGCGCTGTATGCGCGCGTCTGGTACCCATCATGCCTTGTGTCGAGCATTGGTGGTTCAATGGTAGAATTCTCGCCTGCCACGTGGGAGGCCCGGGTTCGATTGACAGTAAACTGCAGTCACTGGAAATGAAAAAGGATTGTGTCCAGGCTGTGTTTTATATATCGGATCCTGTAGTTGGACATGCTTTCCTCAACCCTCACCCTACCCTATCCCTATTTTATGAATCGGACCCCGAAGTTGGACATGCTTTCCTCAGGTTCTCTGTATAGTCCTGGTAAATACTGGAACGCTGCCATCAGCCCGTTCCAACAAAGTGCTGTGGAGACCTCATGGTGGCGCTGTTTGCGCGCGTCTGGTACCCATAATGCCTTGTGTCGAGCATTGGTGGTTCAATGGTAGAATTCTCGCCTGCCACGCGGGGGCAAGTTGCGAATAGCTGTAACAGAAAATCAGCCAATAGGATTAAAGTATCTTTTTTTTTTTTCCAAGGTGTTCGAATGCTTGCTTCAAATCCCCACTGAGACAAATCTGAGATGTGATTTAGGCTATTGTGTTGTGATGAAACACATTGTTTAATATTGACTTTAATAGATTCCCTTTGTTGTTACCTTGTTTATTGAGAGTGAAGTACCTGAAGTACATGTATAAATCATTTTAGTTTAAAAATCTAATTTACTACTATTTACTAAGATCTGAATATGTCATTGATTTCCTTGTTTTGTGTACAGATTAAATCATGCACACCTTCTAAAAAGTAATATAAAAGTTTGAAACCGCATTAAAATGTCCATGTTGGTGAACTGGCAGCAGTACATCTTAGCATATTTATTCAGACCCCATAAAGCATATGAGACAGAAGGTTTTGTATATAAATGGCACATTTAAGTTGAAAAGAAGCTATATTATTTTAATTCCAAGCAGTAGAAAAGACAATAAATTTCAATTTTTTCATGAAAATAGTTTAATTTACAAGCAAGTTATAATGGATGGTGGGTGGAAGTAGGGTAGTATAAGATAAAAAGCAGCATCAGAACATTCAGTGAAAGTTATAAATACAAGGTTAATTTAACATTCTCTTAAACCAGTGAAAAAAAAAACAGAAAAAGTTTGGGAACCACTGTCTTAAACACAGAGATATAAGAGCAGTCCAATTTCAATATTTACAAGTAAACACTTTCATATTTATATATATACATACATCTATTCAAAAATATTTTTTTATTTACACAGAACAAAAAACAATAATTATATAAAAACTTTGAATAGTTTACTGTTTCCTTTCATCCACCCATCTTTGTCTCTCTGCCTCATAGAAAGGAGACGCATGAAACTCTTTCCAGCTCATCTCTCTGGCCATTCCCTTATTGCGGTACAAAGAGTATACTTTAGAAGGGCAGTAGATGTATTTTCCTGCCACTCCTGGGAAGCCCGAATGGATGTGTGGGCTGTTCGGCCCCTGTTTCAGTTCCAGGTGACAGAATCTGCAGAGGCGGCCAGCTTGATGGGGGTCTGGCCGTTTCCTTTTTTTTTCCACTTTCTCTTCCACGCGTTTTTTGGTTTCCTCCAGCTCCCTCTGGAAGAAATCTGTACTTGCAAACTGCTCAAAGGGCATCTGGGCATCTGAAAGTCCCTCAGCAGCATAACTTTGATGCACCTTCTTTGAACAATAGAAATAGCGCACAGGCCCCTGTTGGAAAAAATGGTGGATGGAGGATCCATCAGTCCCGTATCGAGACTTGGGCTGTCCACAGGCAAGACACGTCTTCGTCTGCCTTTTCTTCTGCTCTGGCTGGGGCTGCTGTTGTTGCTGTTGCTGCTGCTGCTGCTGCTTTTCCAAGATGCCCTCCACAATTTTCTCAAGGGAGTCTTGGGTTAGAGGTGTGGACTGGGCAGGTGTAGGGGGCTTGACAACAGCTGCCTCCATGGTGACCACAGGAACACTAGATGTGTCACTCCCCTCTGTTAAAGAGTGCCACAGCTGCTGAGTGTCCAGAAGTTTTTCCTGGCTTGTGTTTAAGGAGGAACTAGTGTTCAGAAGTTTTGCCAGGTGCTTCACATAGCGAGATATGTGCAGCCTGGTTGTGGGGTGCAGCAAGCTGTTTGGATCTGTGGCTGACTGATGGACCATGTCTGCGTAATCTTGATCCACAAGCTTCAGGCGGTCCTTCTTTCCATGGTGCTTCTGCAGCAAACTGTCAATAGCCACTTTCATGGGTGCTGTCCAGCGTGTGTGGTCCAACACAAAAACTCTTCCGCCAGTTTTTATGGGTCCAGTGCGGGCACTCCTTGGTGAGGAACTCAGAGGCAGCGGCAGGGCATGTGAGATTTCTGGAACACATAAAGCAACAATAGTTCCTCAGTTGATAATGTTATTACAGTACAATATGATGCTAAATAATATGTCCAAATCATTATATTTACTTTATGTGAATATATGTTTACACATACTTGTTTTGACATATCTATTCTGTACATAGCTTTATTTATACAATATACTGATTGTTTTACTCATTGCTTTAAGTCTTATGTATAATTCTTATTTTACTCATATTTATATTCCTGTTTTTCCTACTGCTATATGGTGAGCAACTGTAATGTTCGAATTTCCTGTGGGGATTGATAAATTATTTCTGATTCTGACATACCCATTGCTGCTGGAGGATCCTGGACTTCTTCTGGAGGCATCTCCTGCTTTGGCAGTGCACCAGCAGAGAGTGGATGGCCGATTGATGGTGCTGGTCCAGGGAATGGCACGCCAGAGGGCAGTGTCCGACTGGAGGAGGGTGCCACGTCTGGAGCTTTATCTTCAGCAGGAGCAGCAGGTGTCTGCAGGGGGGGCGGAGGCATAAGAGCGGCAGGCTCATCTCTCTTTAGAGTTCTGTGTTTGTCCCAGTCCAGTGGGACTGGACGGCAGCCCGGCTCTCTGTACTGAAGGCCAAACCTCTCTCCAGTGTCCCTGTCTGAGAGGAGAAATGCAGCATACTTCTCCTGCCCTGTCACTCTCATGGAAGCAGCATTTAACTCGCACATTAAAGCTGGGTCAAAGACAGCAGGGAGGTTGACACCTGGCTGTTTAAGGTCCACCAGCCGCTGGTAGTTCCATCGTGCTACCCCTGTCATGCCCTGGGCCTGGAACAATTCAGGGGAGACATGAGTGCCAGTGACCCAGTGAGCCTGGTGGAAATGGTACCCCTCTTGCTGTGATGTACCTCTGACAGGGATCCAGATTGGGACTTTGGCACCTTCACCAGGTACGTGGTTCAGCTGAAGAGTTCCTCCGTACCTGTACATTATGCCCTCGGAGAGTTCAGGGTCACTGAGGCACCCACGGAGAATGTGCACTCTCTGAATTCGCCATGTCTTCAGCATGGATGGCTTAAAGAGTGGGACATTGTTAGGGTCCGTCGCCAGGTGAAAGTGACTCAGGACTCTCTCCACTCTGTCCAGCAGCTCTGTTGGATGGGGTATTTTAATCCTGCAGTGCTCCCGTGTGTGTTGTTTAGTGGGATTGGCTGGATGAATACCACAGAACCTATAGGCATCCTGGAGCCTTTTTAGGTCTTCCTGATCTACAACACAGAAGGCAGCAGAGAGGAGCTGGCAGAAAGTGCTGAACAGAGGGTGATGCTCAGAGGTGCACTCCCGTGAAAAGCGCCTCAGACAGTGAAACAAGTCCAGTTTCACAACAATGTTGTCGTTATAATGTGATCGTGAGGCACAGGTGTTCAACTGCCTTCCGGAGGTCGCTCCAGCAACAATGGACGGGGTAGTCTTCCAGGCATCCCAGTGCAGATGTTCACCAAGGATGCAGTCAGGGATCTTAAATGCAGCACAGCAATCCCTAATGTAAGGCACAAAGACACAGAAGAATTTAAAAAAAACATTTAAGAAACTAAATTGAATTAAATATAAATAAATTATTTTTTTTAATTACAGAAAACTGTGCCAGTTTGAATGAGATTGAAAACAGAAGATGGCTGTGCTCACCTGTCCATCCAATGGTAGCCTGCCTTTTCCACTCCAGCATTGCTGTACCTCTTGGCCATCCCCTGGTACATTGCCTCCAAGGACCTCTCAGTCTCAGACTGAACCATCACCCAGGAAACAATGAGCCAGTGTTCATTCATTACAGCATAACTAGACATCACCCCAGAGGCCAAGGTCACCTTCCTTGCCACTTTCCTGGTGTGGTCAGACCTGAAAACATGCCCAAATGTTCCCTGCAGGAGCCTGGACATAGCTGGCTCTTGACGTCTAAACTCCTCTAGCAGGCAGTCAGTCAGGTAGAAACCGGACACAGAGACTCCACCCCAGCCATGTTGCTCGTCATATGGCCCAAAAGTGCGTGGCTGGTTGTCTTTTCTTAGAAACTGCCCAATGGTCCTCTGACCATACACTCCAGCCTCACCATCTCTCACATTCTCTATGGCTTGAAGGTATGCCAGGTGAGCTCGCTCATACTTCAGGTGCATGAGCTCATTCACCTGGTTGGCCATATCAGTTGGTGACTTGCCAGTGCGCCTCAGCTCATCCATGACAGACTTACAAATGGCCTTCTTGTAAGTCAGGATTGCAGGCAGAAGGTTGGTGAAGCGCTTGGGCAGTTTCTCCAGCCATCGCGGACTGTCAGCGAACCAGTTCTTTCGGCAGACCTTGCAGCAGAGTCGCGAGGAGAGGATAAAATATTGGCCACTGGTGCCGACAATCACCCGAGGCCTGCCCACCCCTGCAGAGACCACCTGTGGATGAGGACAGCCATGGAGACAGGGCAGGATGTAATTGTTCCTCAACCTGACCATGATGTCACTCTCAGGTTTCCAAATGAAAAATGAGTGGAGCTGAAAGAAGTTGGGGGATGGGAGCTCAGCCACCGACTCTATCAGCTCAGGTTGTGGAGGAAGACGCCACAATGAAATTGTGTTCCCTGGATTACGCACTGGACGAGACCCAGGCCACAGCCCGAGATCCTGAAGCTCTGTCCTCATCCAGAGCTTCTGGGTGCTGTGAACAGCTCCAGCTGCTCATGTCATGGTCATGCCCAGGCACAGGAACAGGAACAGGAACAGTAACAGGAACAGGAACAGGGGGCTGAGCTGAGTCAACGAGGGTTTAAAAAAAGAAAGACAATAGAACATAAATAATTATTATTATTATTTTGGTTCAGATAATTATTAAAGGTTGCATAGTTTAAAGCAGAATTAACAGAACATGTTAGTGTCAGGAGTCAGGAAAATGGAGGGAATGTTTACATTCTCTACGTTCTTACCATCTTCAGCACAGTCTTCAAGTCTATTTTCATTTTGTGCAGAGGTGCGAGCAGCACTTGTGCTGGGTTCTGAAAAAGGAGTGCAGTCTTTCTGTTATACATTTGTACAGGCTATAAACATAAAGACATGATGACAAAAAAAAAAGAGATTGTGAAAATCATACTCAGCTAGCTGTGCATTAAGCAGATATGAACATCAGCCCTACACTAAAATGGAAACATCCTGTACCTGGAGTTGACTTAGGCCTCTCTGGTTTTGTGGGACCAGCAGTCTCCTTGACTAGGAATGCCAGCTCTGGTGGAAGGGGCACAGGTGTCTTCCTTTTCACACCCGATGAGGCTGATGCAGCTACAGGAAAGTTAAAAAGCTCATCATTAATTTCATGAAATTGTGATTATTTTACACTTAATCACGTTATCCTCCTTATCCGACATCAATCTCTTGCCTTATGTAGGCTTGTACATATTAGTTTATTGTTTGTACATAGACAACATAGTGTACTGGAATCTAATTCCTTCTATGTATAAAGATACCTAGCTAATAAAGCTAGTTTAGATTCTGATTCTGATACAAGAACAGTATTACAGTATTTGTACCTTCAACCTGTGATGCCTGCAGTGTAGTAGTAGTTTTGGGCAGAAGTTTGGACAGCGTTGCGGAGGGAACTAGAATAGACAAAATAATCAGTCATTTCAAAATTCACAAAATATGCAAGAGTTGTTGTTAGTAGGAACTCAAACAGTCAAGCTTACTTTTCCTGCTTCTCAAAAATGTTAAATGTTAAATTGTCACAGACACACCAAATTAACTTACAATACTAATCACTACTCTCTAGTCTAAGCAGGAAGAGCATTATGACTTAATGAACAAGCATGCATTTAACTTTTTAAATACAACATGCATAGAAAAGAAAATGCTTACTTACCCTCATAGTGTTTGCAATCAATTCATCGTGGCAGTGATCAATTCATAGTCCTTAGGACAGTTATTATAACGCCAGCTAACAGTATTATTAAAGGAACACAGCCGGAACATGGCCAGAACACAAACAACACAAAGAAATAGTTTAAGTCGAGATTCAGTTTTGGGGGGCAATTCATCATGTAAAAGAATCGTACTCCAGTCCTGAAACCTATTATTTAAAAACCTGTCTTTGCTCCTGCGGACACTCCTGGTATGGCAGCTGCTGGTATGGATGCTGCTGACGCAGCAACTGGTTACAAACAGAAAATGGGAAATAACAGATATCAGATACAACACAGAGTTTGCCACCGTCAGTTTTGAGAATCAGTCAATGTAATAAAAGTGTACTTACAGGTCTGCACTTGTAGTTTAGAGGATGTCATGCTTATCATTGCACTCTCAAGCTCTTCATCCTCATCCATCACTGTGGTCCAGACAAATATTACAGGGTACAAAAAAAGAATAAGTTTACCCAAATTAGGATAGTTAAAAGTATTAGTCACATGTCATCAGAAATGGCAAATACAAATATAAATGAATTAATTTACCCAGGGGTTTGGGGACCCTTGAGGCATGTTTGACAGGTGGGGAAGCAGAGGCAGATTGCTGCCTCTTCTGCAGGTACTGCTGCAGCTTGAACATGCGTGTACCTGGGACACAGCTCTTCCCCAAAATGAAGGTTGCATAGCCATCAGCTCTGCTGTCCCAAATCTCCTTCCAGGTGCTCTTAGCACGAGTGCCAAAGCCAACCAGCTGGTCATCTTCCAATGAGGCTGCCATAACAACCCCTCCACTTGCCTCATAGGTTCGGAGAGACTGGATCTCAGCAAAACTGAGGGAATAATTGACAAAGGACTGTAGGCTGTTCTTGCTATGCCCTGCAGTCACACTGTCACCTGATGCTTCCTCCTTTTGCAAGTTCTTAATAAGATACATTGTGTACCCTATATCATTCTCCAAAAGCCACCTGAAAGACTTCCCTTTATACTTCCCAAACTGCAGGATGTAGTCTCCCAGCACCTCCGTACGGTCTGAGGCATCCCCTCCTCTCCGACGGACCACAGCCAGAGCATTCTGCTGAACAAGGTCAGCCCGTATGGGGGCAGACTTGTCCTGCAGAGTGGAGTCCTCCTTAATTCTTCTGGCTTCCTTTGACGGCTCCTGGAGGAGAAATCCAAGTGGTCCCTTGCGGAACACAACACAGACTTTCCCCGGGAAGAACAACACTTTCTTGTGCATCTTTACCTAAAAGAAAATAATAGAATTTTAGATTTATTTCAATCAGATACAGTGAGAAGATATTTGTGGAAAAAAATACCAGAATATTTCAGATCACATATTAATCCCACTCAAATAGAAATGGCCAATTAAATATTTTACAGCGGCAAAACTTCTATGATCTTCACTAAAAAGTTCAGAAGGCCAAAAAGACAATAGTTTTTCACACCTTTTTGATCTTCACCTACTCTGGGATCTAAGGGGGAGGAAGTGTGTGTGTGTGTGTGTGTGTGTGTGTGTGTGTGTGTGTGTGTGTGTGTGTGTGTGTGTGTGTGTGTGTGTGTCTGTACATCTAAGAGTCTGCCTGAGAACTAAAGGGTAAGAGGGTGGGGTGGGAGCAGCAGGAGGGGGAAAGCACAGCATGTGTGAGCAAGAATAGAGGCGGGAGTGAGAGGGGCAGTAGATGTGGGAAAAAAACTGTGTGTGCCTAAGCACCTGAGTTTAAGTGTATGAGTTTGGAGAGGGGCAAATAGGGCAGGAGAGGAGTTCCTATCAAATAATTGAGGAACAAAATGACATTTGATATTGTAGTTAAGACTTAACTTGACTCTGAAAGATAGTGTAACACCATGGTCCTGATAAAAGTTGACTTTACTTGACCATTAAATAGATAACGTTTGTTTGTTAAATCAAGTTTGATAGTGTAACTTATCACGTTATTGCACCAATATTGTCTGACAGAGAAAAGCCGGTAAAGTCCTGCACATAGTCCTGTACATAAACGAACTACCTGCTATAAAACCTCGGGTGATAAGTCCATAAATTGACAGTTTTAAATTTATGCCAAACAAAGTCTCTTACCTTTGATTAGTGAATACTGCGTGATGAGAATTCGAAGAAAGTAGACAGTGTCTTGTCTCCACCGCAGTTCGCTCTGAATGACAGGTTGTGAGGAAGCGCGACTTCTGAAGAAAAACTCGGGACAGCGCCACTAAGTCGTAGTGGCCAAAAGTATATTACATCCGTAGTGGTTTAGCACTACCATAGAGAATGAATGGGAAACGGTTTAGGGCTTTTAGCTAAACAATCCTCGACTGAGGCGCGGGAGGCCCGGGTTCGATTCCCGGCCAATGCAGCCAGGATTTTGACTTGGTCTAGGATCAACTGTTGTCTGTTGCGCTCATTGTGAATCACAACACTTGAAGTTGAATAACGGGATCCGTTGCTGTTTTTTGTCCCAGAGACACAGACAAACTTGTGCAGTGCAACACAGCTCAGGACACTTGAAGTCTAACAATTCTATGAAAAACATTTTCCCAGGACTCTTTACATTGTTACAACAAGAAGCTCCCTGTTCAGTCGACAGCATTTTTTTCAGAAGCTGGCTTCCAACGCACCAAACTAGGGGAGCTGCCACTCCACCTCAGCACTTGAGACCACTTAGCCAAAGTGACCTCTTAGGAGTTCTTTTCTTAGCAAAAATGTCAAACTCACACAAAGTCCAAGTTGACAGTAAACTGCAGTCACTGGAAATGAAAAAGGATTGTGTCCAGGCTGACCTTGAACCAGACATGTAAAATAATTGCAGTTTTTACCCGATGAAGACACTGGATGATAAGTCAGAAGATCACCAAAGGGATTATGAATGACTTGGAAGGGGAACAGGAGAGTGCTTACCAAATTTGGCAAACAATCCAACAAAGTGCTGTGGAGACCTCATGGTGGCGCTGTATGCGCGCGTCTGGTACCCATCATGACTTGTGTCGAGCATTGGTGGTTCAATGGTAGAATTCTCGCCTGCCACGCGGGAGGCCCAGGTTTGATTGACAGTAAACTGCAGTCACTGGAAATGAAAAAGGATTGTGTCCAGGCTGTATTTTATATATCGGATCCTGTAGTTGGACATGCTTTCCTCAACCCTCACCCTACCCTATCCCTATTTTATGAATCGGACCCCGAAGTTGGACATGCTTTCCTCAGGTTCTCTGTATAGTCCTGGTAAATACTGGAACGCTGCCATCAGCCCGTTTACGAGCCAAAAGCAGCACCACAGAAGTCCTCGTTAGTATAGTGGACAGTATCTCCGCCTGTCACGGGGAAGACCGGGGTTCGATTCCCCGACGGGGAGAAATATTCTTTCTACCAGCAGTCCCATTACTTACCACCTAAGAAAGGGCTAGCCCTACTCTCAAGGTGAGGTGAGTAAAAGTTAACTCTCTGTACATCTAAGGAATGAAAAAATAAGGAAATGGTCCAAGGAGAGGAATTCATACATGGTAGGTAAAATAAAATGAGAATTTGGGATTGTGACAGTGAATTTTTTAGTCCCTCTCAGGGACTTCTTACTTCTTGACTGCCACGCGGGAGGCGAGGGTTCGATTCCCGGCCAATGCAGCCAGGATTTTGACTTGGTCTTACAATGTTAGAAAGTGCAGATATGATACTGCTACAAAGGATCAACTGTTGTCTGTTGCGCTCATTGTGAATCACAACACTTGAAGTTGAATAACGGGATCCGTTGCTGTTTTGACCTCATGGTGGCGCTGAATGCGTGCATCGGCTACCCAGCATCCCTTGTGTCGAGGATTGGTGGTTCAGTGGTTCAGTAAATTGCAGTCACTGGAAATTAAAAAGGGGTATGTCCAGGCTCAGCTTAATCCCGACATGTAAAATAATGGCAATGGCAATGGAAGCAATTTGACTGTTTGGACCTCCATTGAATGTTAGAGCCTACATGAGCTGGTTGTAACAAATGGGGGCTCGTCCAAAAAAAAAAAAAAATCTGTAAGTTGATTGTTTATCTGTTTTGTAGTGATTTAGAAAACGTTGGTTGGAGGGCTCATAGTAGCTTGCTGTCTGGTTTATGTAGCTTTCTTTGAACTTAAAAGTTGGGATTGTATTTTCACTAGTTTTCGTGTTTTCGTCGTCATTAACACTTTCCCCGCCAGAGTATTCTAGAATGGTTATTTTACCTTTATTTTACCAGGTAGTCTCAATGAGATTTTGTAATCTCATTTTCAAGAGAGACCTGGGTACATCAGTGGCAAATAAAATAATAAAAAACATTTAAGTAACAGAGATCAAAAACCCTAAGTAGATGCATGGCCAATACACACAACAACATCATACAAACACATTAAAAGGTCAAGAAAAGTCAAGTGTCCAATGCAGGGCTATTAACAAAGATAACTCCCAATTGATTTAGATTTGTAGTCTTTCAGCATCGCTTTAAATTCCACTAGAGTGAACATGGGCATGTTTCTGAAAGAAGGTTTTGTGCAAACTCTGAGTTAGTTAACCCTGAAATGAGAGAAACTCTGGGTATTCCGTTTCAGAAGGGGAGGTCACTCACACTCGAGAAAGAGGGGTAACTCCAGCCCGTTCCAGAGGGAGAAGTTACTTTAGCTCTGAGTCAGTTACTATGGTAACTGAGTCTGTGAAGCTAACCTGGTTGGGAGCAGGTTTTCTTCAATGAACCCAGAGTTTCTCTCGGTCTCCGCCCTCTTTCAGAGCCAGAAACGCTGTTTAATTTCCTCATTCTTTCATTCAGTCCGTATCACACGCGTTAGTGAAGATTCACCGTTTGTCTGAATAAAAATCCAGGTTGTTTTAATATATGTTAGGGTGGCAATACTACAGCGTATAAGACAAACTATTTTATCAAACATGGCATTTAGTTGAGCATCGGTATGAAGGGGCTGCATTAGGCTACTCTGCAGGGAATTAGAGCCAAACATTAAGGTCAGGAGATGTTCATTTAATTAGGGTTAATTAAAAAACTAAACGGGATAAAGCTGAGAGGACATTTAGCCTATGTGTGTGAATACAGCATTATGTTGGGGAAAAGTTAATGCACATTCAAATAGACTCTGAATTAAGTTAAGCTTAAATATATGAGCCTATGTTCTTATATTTCAAGTTGCTTTTCTTCTGCTGGATTGCATCTCAATGAAAGGTGTAATGGCCTACCATTCCACCAGTTTTGACCTGCAATATAATAGCCTAATTCTGATTAGATATTTTAATTAATAGACTTTACTCGCTTACGCGAGCAGTTGTTTTATCTTACACCACTTTTCTCTCCTTTGCCGCTGCACTGCAGCAGTGTTACTTTTTTTTCCTCAATAAAACTGTTCATTACATCGTAGCCTATGGCCACATGAAGATATTGTTATATTTCGAGATGGTTAAAGTACGAGGATCTCTTTTTTGTCACCTGTTGCCATGGTGAATTGTAGATTCGGGGCTCCATTCATGGTGGCTTTTATAATCGCGGTGCAAGAGCTGAACACCGAGTGGACCTACTCAGAGTTGACTTAACAAATTGAAATCTGCTGATCTGGAACCGAAAACTCAGAGTTTCCCACCTGAGAGTAAATCAACTCAGAGCTCAAGCTTAGACTGAGGGTTTGTTGAACCTTGAACGGGCCCTGTTGCGTACGCACAAAACGGGGTCTGAAACTGACGTAGGCCTACGCCTTTTCCCATGCACAGTTTGTGATCTATAAAAACAAACCTGACAGTAAAATGTGCGCACTGGTAGGCAAACTCTGACCCAGTCATACGTACATTTTGGAGGCATGGGAAATTGGCGACACAGATGGCGAAGTGGTGAATTGAAGCCTGCGGATACATATTGATGTCTCTTCCACATTTTATTTCACTAAATATCAAACTTTACTGACAGATCCACGTCATCATAATCATTCAAACTGACGGTTTTATTTAGGCTATAATCGCGCATGTAGTGCAACTCAGTAGGGGCCTGACCACCACTGGCCCAACGGTGGGGTGGGGCACCAGTTGTGGTGAATCATGATTTAAAACGTGGTTTTAATGATGTAACAAGAGTCATACTTAAAGTTTTAAGGTCCTTTATTAACACTTTATTTTCTGAAATAATTTACAAAAACGCAAAACTTCAGTGTAAAGGCAGATACAGTAATGTATGCACAATGAAATGCACCTAACACAACTTCAGCAGATGCTTACTACTAGCTAGGCCTATTTAATTTACAACTTAACTTCAAAATAAAGTTATTAACTTAACATTAATTCATTAACAGAGTAATATTGAAGTGCTTTTGACACTGCTGTAACATAGAGGGGAGCAGTAAAATGACAGATTTTTAATTAAATAAACGGTACGAATCTAATAGTATTTTTATTCATTTATTCTGTCCTTCTGTCTGTCGTTTTTGTTGTTTTCTCATGAATGATACTATTAATATGGTTTTGAACTATTTGAACTATAAGTGTCTAGTGTTGATATATTGATGTTGTATTGATGATATCTCGCCCAGGCCATAGTGTGAATACAGATTTGGCTAAAATAAATGTCATCTTTTTGTTTTATGTACCGAAAAATATTCACACTATCCAAACTACTGGAATAACCTATCTATAAACATCGGAGAAAATAGTAGGCCTACAATAGTTTCCTTTACATTATATTAATTTTTAATTATTACTTTCTACTCACGTCTGTATTTCTGCATCAGTTTACATTTCAATGGTGCACAGTGCGGTATCAGAGACATGTTTCCTTCTGACTCCTATGACTTTCTCTCACCCAATCAGAGCTCTCATTGCTCATGCTAAAAAAGAACCAAACAAACCAATGGACGATCTGAGGAGGCGGAAACTAGCCGGCTGAATCGGGCTGATTGATGCTGAGTTCAAGGCATCTTGGAAGTACGGGACAAACCGCGTCCCGTATTGATTAAAAACGGGACGCAATATTAAAGTGTAAAATACGGGACGATTCCGTATTTTACGGGACTGGTGGCAACCCTACACAGAGCACACAGAGACACGGCGATGGCTTCACACATCTTCATCACCTGCACGT